GGGCAGGGGGCAGAGTGCAGGGTGTGGCAGGGGGTTCAGGGCAGGGGGTCGTTGTGCGGGGTGTGGCAAGGGGCGCTGGGCAGCGGGTTGGGATGCAAGAGGGGTGTGGCAGGGGGTTCAGGGCAGGGGATCAGGGTGAAGGAGGGGTGTGGTGTATGGCACGGGGTCGGGGTGCAGGAGGGGTGCAGCAAGGGGCTCAGGGCAGTGGGTTGGGATGCAGGAGGGGTGCAGGGTGCGGCAGGGGGTTGGGGTGCAGGGGGTCGGGGTGCAGGGTGCGGCAGGGAGCTCAGGGTAGGGGGTTCGGCTGCAGGAGGGGTTCAGGGAGCAGGATCTGGCCCAGCACGTACTGGGGGCAGGGCAGGCTCCCTGCCTGTCTGCCCTGCCCCCACAAGAGGCTGGAACGTGGGGAACGGGGGTGGAGGGGCTGTGTGTTTCTGTTGCTTGAGGCACCGCCACCAGCAGCTCCCATTGGCTGCGGTTCCCTGTTCCCGGCCAATTGGAGCTGCTGAGGGCGCTGCCTGAAGCAACAGCCACACACAGCCCCCTCCGCCCCCCCTTCCCCATGTTCCAGCCTCTTCCCGGAGCTGCGCAGGGCAGGGCAGGCAGGCAGGGAGCCGCTCTGGTAAACACTGGGGGAGGGCAGGGGGATTGTGAGGGGCTCGCGGCCACGGGCCGCGTGTTTGAGACCCCTGGTCTATACCAGCAACCTGAATGGTACATGACCTCCTTCTGTAGACCCTGCTGTACCGAAGCATAGTAGGGATAAATTAAGGACATTACCCGTAATTTCATTACTTTTTTCAGTATGTTTTGGTTCGATCAAAGCAGAAAGACCTTTTAAAAATGAATATCGGTTCTAAGTTTTGGTATTTTAGATGAAATTCCTCTTCATATGCTTCAACTCAGTGAAGTTAATTGGTCATCTCATCACATACTCTCCCTCAACATCCTCAAAAAATCATTTTAAAAGCTTGTTCCTGGGATATCTTGTTTGCCCAAAGCAAATTTTCATGGCCAACAATATAAATTTATGACAAAAAAGATTAAACTTAATGTTGATTAATGTATAGAATGGTAGTGACCCACACTATGGCACTGTAGTGTGTGATCTGTCCGTGCATATATGGTTGCTTTTGGACCAAGAATCTTCATGTTTTTTATACTTTGCAGCATGTTTCTCCTGTGGAACCTATGGTAGACGATATAGTTCATGGGTTCTCCTTTTTTCCCACAATATGGACCCACATCATAATAGAGAGAGTGCCTTAGGAACCAATTCCATTGACTATAATAGAGACCCACTACGACTACTCTCTCTATTCCAAGTCCTGTCAACCCCCTGTCTCATCACAATCACACAACTTCCCTCTCTCAAATGCCTATGTGGAGTAGTGGTATTAATGGGAAAACATTTAATTGTGTGTAACTGTTCTTCTGGTAGGTGTGGTCCATGAGAACTCCTAGTGGAAGCAGAGAGCCTACCTCCTCTTTGTTTCTAGCTGTATTTATGGGCCTGCACTTACTTCTTTACAATGAAACAGCTGGAAGCAAGGAGAAGAAGCCAGGACTAGAAGAAGCAGTAACTTGCCAGCTCTTCACAGATAATATAGCAAATGCTGTATAGCCTCGCAGTGGTTCATTGAACATTGTGCAAGAACCATTGATGAGTTTGACTATGATGCTACCATTTCCATATTTGGTAACGTCCTATTTAAAATTAGTTTCAGTATTTTTATTTTAGTTCCTTCCCATCACATGCATGGTTTCTTCTTCTATCATTCTAGTCTGAAGCTAGATGTGACCATTACGAGTGTCCCTATAATATAAGTGTCTAAGCTGCCCTTTCTCCCAAAATCTAGATGATCACATCTCTGGTAATAAGCATCTCCTGCTTCCTGTCCTGCTTGCAGTGTTGCACCATTTGGGACACAAGTAATCTGCCAACCAAGCTTGTGTCAACATTTAGCAAGAGGGAGAATGTATTTTAGCAGCACATGATACTCTCAGTATAAGTCACCGCAGCTCGGTCTTAGCGTTGTTGTTAAAAACATTTTTACATTATACATGTTGTAAGTAAATGTCACTCAATGAGACTCTGTTTAAGACTGTTCTATGGTACAGCTTCTTCCTTGTTTGAATAATTTAAAAATAAAACCTGTTCCATTTGGGTACTGAGGGATGATTAGAGTGGTCGAAAAGTGCTGGTCACTAGGTATTGAAACTCATAGATGCTAATTTCATAGCCTGCTTTGCTTTTACCTTCTTTCAGACCTGGTCCCATTAATGACTGTTGTTTTCTGGTATGTGTGTAAATGATTTTCAGCCACAAAACTCTTTCTCCCCACTCTCTTCTGGTGTCTCACAAATAAGAGCTGCTGTATATCATAGCTGTTTTCAGTCTCCACACACAAAGGATTGCTGCTTGCTATTGTGGAATTATAATCTTACTATTAAAAAGGTGGGGGGGGGGGGGGAGTTTAAACATCAAAACCAAAACAGCCCCAGAACTATTTCTTTAAGTTTGTCATTCTATGTTCATGCAATATTATCAGGAGGTTATTATGAAATAATGTTTGGAAGGATTCTGGAATAGTGCTGGTGGTGCTATAATCTTGTAGACTCAGTATTGATCACAAATGTAAATTTAGTCAAACACAGATTAGTCAGAGACAAGTTACTGGGGTGAATATAGGAGTAACTGGTTGAAAGTTAATGGCTTGTGATACCCAGGAGGTCAGACTAGATGATTGAATGATCCTTCTGGCTTCACAACTCTTGAGTGTGACTGTGAAATGCTTAGCAGAATCACTTTGCTTTCACAGCAGTTTCTCATCTCATGGTGGTCTTTTGGTTTTTCTTTTTGTTGTGATTAGCATGACATTCTTGTTAAAACAAATGTTGCATTTTGTGACTAGGTAAGAAGAACAAGTTGCGAGTTTACTACTTGTCCTGGTTAAGAAATAAAATCCTACATAATGATCCTGAAGTAGAAAAGAAACAGGGTTGGACAACTGTGGGCGACTTGGAAGGCTGTGTGCACTATAAAGTTGGTAAGTAGCAAATAAATTGTGACAATCTGTCAGGATAAAATTAGGTAACAGAGACGTCTTACTAAGATAGTTGCTGTTTATATTAACTGATTCCTCTTAACTTTTGTTTTGCCATGTTCTTCTTCGAGTGATGGTCCCTATCTGTATTCTGCACGTGGGAAACACATGCACCCCATGTGTCTGAATCTGGAATTTCTTGCAAGCAATGTTAGTTGAAGAGCACGTGTGCTGTAGCTCTCCGCGTGCTCCCAACTGAGAGCATAAAGGGCGGTGCAAGCCGATGCCTCTCCAGTTCCTTCTTACTACGCATGGTCTGAGTTGAAATCTTGTGTGTCCTCAGATCCCTTATACTGCCTTATTCCTATAAATATGTATCTAGATAGGTTTTTAAGTAGTTTTTATAGTGTGGTATAGCATATATAGTTAGCATTTTTTTCCCCCGTCTCAAGATTTCTCTTCTCCCCCTCCCCACCCAAAGAAGTCTGGGATTATGCCCAGGGTCCTGGCATTCAAAACTGTGTTTCCTGCCCTCACTCCTTTTCTGTGAGCAATGAACATCAAAGCTGCCTTTTATTCCTCGGTGAGGTTCTCATTTCTGCCAAGGGCAGCATCTGCTGCTCTTTCCCCCTGAACTTGTGAGGGTCGGGACCTGAGATTCAGAAAACACCTCATGGAGAAGACAATGAAACCCTAATCAGATCTGGGCTGAGTCACCAGCCGCCACCACCACATTTCCCCCCCTTCCCCCTCCCATACATCAGCCTCAACAAGTGGGCAGTGATCCTCCAAGCTTGGGAATGGAGAGTAAGTCTGTTAAACCTAAAGGAAGGCTTCACAGGAGAGTAAGGTGCACTCTCATAGACATAAGGACAAATCATCAAAGTCTAAGACTGTCCCAAAAAGATGGGATCCCTCCCTGACCCCATCAAAGTCAGAAAAGCCAGTTCACACAGGCGCTAAGATCTTAGGCACAATTAAATCTTCTCAACAAGAGAAGGAGGCTTGCCAGGGTACAGGTCCAACGGTTCAGACACCAGCTCTGATGGTGAAGATGTGGGATAGACAGCTCCTGGTGCTTCTGTCCACTTTGGGAACGGAGGGGTACTGGTAGTGATGTGGCCCTGGAGGGAGCCGACAGCCACGTTGACCAGAGAGGCTCTGGCTCTGCCAGCTCCACCAATTGACTCTCTTCGTACCCTGGGGTGGTCAGAGACATATGTCTCCCCAGAAGACATCTTTGCTCTCCTCCATCTGCATTCACCACTCCTATTGCAGAGCTGCACATCCAGCTGGTGGAAATTCAGGAGCCTCAGCACAGCTTACTACACATTCCGCAGCCTTCCAGTCCCAGTAGTGCGGCCCTCTCTTATCAACGAGCCCATTATAGATCCAGAAAATGTGGTTTGGTGCACCCCTGCTTCGTGTGCTACCACACCTAGAGCTGAGAAGCGCTACTTTATCCCATCCAAGTGGGGAGAGCTCTTCTTCTTTCACTCTCACTCAAACTCCCTGGTGTTGCAGAGCGGTCGAAGCAACAGCACCCACAGGCGACTCCCTCTGATAAGGCACACAAGAGACTCAACCTTATGGGAAGAAAGGTCTTCTCTTCCACCTCCCTCCAGTTCAGGATCTCTAATGATCAGGCTCTTTTGGCCAAATACAATTTTATCAATTATGCTAAATTTCTAGAGTTTAAGGACAAGCTTCCTGAGGAGGATAGAGAACGCTTCCAGGCCTTAGTGGGTGAGGGCACATTTGAGGCCAGAACTTCACTCCAAGCTATGGTGGACGTGGCAGATACTGCATCAAGGGGGATGGCTACAGCCATTGTCATGAGGAGAGACTTGTGGTTGCAATCCTTGGGTTTCGCTGGAGAGATGCAGAGTACATTCAAGATCTACCCGTTGATACTATCAACCTATTCCACTAGAAAATGGATGGGTCTCTCCAAGCCCTCAAAGAGTCAAGAACAATTGATGATCATTTATACTCCTGCCCCTCAAGAGGAACCATCATAGACAAGGTTATAAGGCAAGACCATCTCCTCAGCCCTTTTATCATCAGTGTCCTCAGGAGCCATCACACAAAATAGACCAGTGAACCCAGCCTCTGCAACATCCACTGCCACTTTGTATGCTAACCCCAGACAAAGTGTTTCTTTTGACAGGACTGTTGAGACTCGAGCCCCTTTTATGTTAACTCTTCATTCCCCTCTTCAAATGTTTGAAGGCTGCCTTCCCCAATTTGTCAAAAACCAGTGGGCGCTAACTACAGACAAATGGCTATCAGAGGTTGTCCATGGCAGCTATCTAATTGAGTTTCTGAAAACTCCTTCCCACTTCCTCTTCAGGAACCACTCTCACGAGGAGATTTTACAACAGGAGGTGAACACCCTGCTCCTCAGGGGAGCCATTTAAAAGGTTCCAGCCCAACACCATGGGATTCTATTCTCCTTGATTCCCCAAGAAGAGTGGAGGATGGAGGCTGATTCTCGATCTATGTCAGTTAAACAAGTTTATCCAAAAACTAAAATTCCGCACGATATCCTGAGCATTAATAACTTCCTCATTAGAAGAGGGCACGTTGTTTTTGGCTCTGAATGGCCTACAAGAGGTTTCTCAGGTTCCTCTTCGTCCAAAACCACTACCAATTCAGAGTCCTCCCCTTCGGTCTGGCCACAGCACCCAGGGTATTTACAAATGTTTTTTCAGTGGTGGCTGCTTGGATGAGAAGACAAGGATTTACAGTCTTCCCAGACTTCAGTGACTGGCTTCTCACAAGCAGTTCCCATGTGGCAGTCCACAGGGCAACCCATCATCTGCTCAGCCTTTTACCTTCCCTACGTGTCTGCATCATTCATGAAAAATCCATGTTGACCTCCACAAGGTGTATAGACTTCATAGGGACGTCATTAGACTCAACTACAGCAAGAACATATCTACCTCTCAAAAGGTTTCAGGCCATGAGCACACTTATAGAGCAGGTTGTTATCAGACCCAGGGCATCAGTCAGAACTTGGCTTCCCTCTTTGACCACATGGCTTCATGCACACATGTGACACTGTTTACCAGGCTACATCTACATAACCTACAACCCTCGCTTCTCTCTGTGCGCTCACCAGAGGAAGGCACCATGAACGACACGGTCGCAATTCCACCCAAGGTATTAGGCTGTCTTGTGTGGCGGTCAAAACTGGAGAAGATTTGGGCAGGGATCCCTTTCCTCACACCGACAGCCGAGTCAAACTATTGTTACTGATGCCTCCTACTTGGGCTGGGGTGCGTGTATGGACCCCACAGGAGTCCAGAATGCACATCAACTTACTAGAACCCAGGGCAGTCTGTCCAGCTTCAACGCCTTCCTCCTACTCATCCAATGCAAACATGTAGACTCATAGACTTTAAGGTCAGAAGGGACCATTATGATCATCTAGTCTGACCTCCTGCACAATGCAGGCCACAGAATCTCACTCACCCACTCCTATAACAAACCCCTAACCTATGTCTGAGTTACTGAAGTCCTCAAATTGTGGTTTAAAGACCTCAAGGTGCAGAGAATCCTCCAGCAAGTGACCCGTGCCCCACGCTGCAGAGGAAGGTGAAAAACTCCAGGGCCTCTGCCAATCTGCCCTGGAGGAAAATTCCTTCCTGACCCCAAATATGGCGATCAGTTAAACCCTGAGCATGTGGGCAAGACTCACCAGCCAGCACCCAGGAAAGAATTCTCTGTAGTAACTCAGATCCCACCCCATCTAACATTCCATCACAGACCATTGGGCATATTTACCTGCTAATAATCAAAGATCAATTAATTGCCAAAATTAGGCTATCCCATCATACTATCCCCTCCATAAACTTACCAAGCTTAGTCTTGAAGCCAGATATGTCTTTTGCCCCCCACTACTCCTCTGGGAAGGCTGTTCCAGAACTTCACTCCTCTAATGGTTAGAAACCTTCGTCTAATTTCAAGTCTAAATTTCCTAGTGTCCAGTTTATATCCATTTGTTCTTGTGTCCACATTGGTACTAAGATTAAATAATTCCACTCTCCCCCTGATATTTATCCCTCTGATATATTTATAAAGAGTAATCATATCTCCTCTCAGCCTTCTTTTGGTTAGGCTAAACAAGCCAAGCTCTTTGAGTCTCCTTTCATAAGACAGGTTTTCCATTCCTCGGATCATCCTAGTAGCCCTTCTCTGTACCTGTTCCTCATCCTTCTTAAACATGGGAGACCAGAACTGCACACAATATTCCAGATGAGGTCTCACCAGTGCCTTGTATAACGGTACTAACACCTCCTTATCTTTACTGGAAATACCTCGCCTGATGCATCCCAAGACCGCATTAGTTTTTTTAATGGCCATATCACATTGGCGGCTCATAGTCATCCTGTGATCAACCAATACTCCGAGGTCCTTCTCCTTCTCTGTTACTTCCAACTGATGTGTCCCCAATTTATAACCAAAATTCTTGTTATTAATCCCTAAATGCATGATCTTGCACTTTTCACTATTAAATTTCATCCTATTACTATTACTTCAGTTTACAAGGTCATCCAGATCTTCCTGTATGATATCCCGGTGTTAGCAATACCTCCCAGCTTTGTGTCATCCGCAAACTTTATTAGCACATTCCCAGTGGGAGCCGCGATCGGCCGGACCTGCGGACGGGGCAGGTAAACAAACCGGCCTGGCCCACTAGTGGCTTTCCCTACATAAGTGGCGACCCCAGTTTGAGAAACACTGCAGTACATGGATCTGTTGAAGCTTTCAGTGCACCCATCCAGGAACATAACACAGGGACAACATCACACACCCCAATCCAGGGCCGGTGCAACTCAGAGCCTGGTATTTGGATGGGCATTGGAGATAGAATGCTCATGTTTCAAGAAGATGCAAACCATCCTTATCCAAAATAGAAAATATTCTATGAGATGCTGTTACTCAGCTAACTGGAAACATTTCTCCACTTGGGCTCATCAGTACAATTTGTCTCTGGACTCTGCTGAAATCCCTGGTATCTTAGAGTATCTACTTATTTTTAAGTCTTCTGGTCATGCATTCAGTTTCCTATGGCTGCATTTAGCGGCAGTCAGCGCTTTCCATCCTCCAATGCATAACTATACAATCTTCACACACCCTGTCACAACTAGAGTTTTAAAGGGAATTCTCACATCCTTTCCACCAGCAGTGAAGTTTGCACCTCAGTGGGACCTGAATTTTGTTCTGTTCTCTCTCACTAAGGCTCCCTTTAAGCCACCGGCCATATGCTCTATGGCCACCCATGAAGGCGGCTTTTCTCATAGCTATAACATTGGCCAAAAGAGTTGGTAAGCTGGGAACATTTAGAGCGGGCCCACCATATACTGCCTTCTATAAAGAAAAGGTCTCGCTATGCCCCCACCCCAGACTCATACCCAGGGTAGTTTCTGCATTTGATATGAGTCCACTTACATGTATTTTGCCCTAAAGCATGTGCCTTGGAAGAGGCAAGAAGGCTGCATTCTCTGGATGTCTGGAAGGCTTTGGCCTTTTATCTGCCAAGAACAAAGGACGTTAGAAAGACACCTATTTTTTTCCATAGCAGAGCAATAAAAAGGTCAACTTATATCAGCGCAGAGATTTTCAAAATGAACCTTGTTCATGGTTACCAATTAGCTGGCATCCTCCTTCTTGCCCCTCTCCACTATCCTGGAAGGGGAAAAGGCTCATTCCACCAGGGGGAAGCTGCATCTCTGAGAGACATACCCATACTAGAGATCTGTAGGGCAGCTACTTGGAGTTCTTTGCATACCTTTATCAGACATTACACCGTGGTGTAGTCATCAACTGCAGATATGGCTGTGGGGACAGCAGTACTACAGTCAGCTATTGCTTCTGTGTCCACCACCACCTGTTTGACTACTACTTGTTAATCTCCCATGTGTGGAATATACACAGGAACCATCACTCGAAGAAGAAATAGAGGTTACTTACTGTATATGGAAGTTCTTCAAGATGTGTGGTCCTTATCTGTATTCCACCACCCATCCTCCGTCCCCTCTGCCACAGATTGGTTACACTGTGGTAAGAATGGGGAAATTGGCGTGGTGGCGGCCCACACTGCCCTTTATGCCTTCTGTTGGGAGCACAAGGAGCGCTACTGAGCATATGTGGGCCAATGGATACTGCTTACAAGAAATTCCAGACTCAGGCACATGGTGGACCTGTGTACCCGTGTGTGGAACGTAGAGCGGGACCACACATCTCGAAGAACCTCCGTTTACAGATCAGTAACCTCCAGTTACACTGGAATGAAAAAGAATGCATTTTTTTATTTTTCTCTTAGAGGCTGATTGTTGTAAAAACAACAACAACAAAAAAGCATGCCAGCTTTGTAGGGGTTTATGGTAACAGGAACATATGTTTAAGTTAATGATGATTCATTGATTTCCCTTACCTCATAGCATTTCCTAATGCACTCTCAGACTGAGCTGAGTGCAATTGTGGGGTGAAGTGCCTTTCCATTAAATAGATAGTTTTTAGTGCTTCTTAAATTGCTGAGATTAATTGGGTTATAGACCCCCTCTGAACCAAAGCCTATGATGGATGGCAGACAGTACATATAAGCCTGTTAACCTGCTGTGGGTTACTATCCAGAAAACATCAGTAAGTTAGTACTGTTTCTGGTGGCTCTGCTTCAAAATGAGATCTTGCCATCATGATGCACCACTATTGCCCTGGAATGATTTTGCTTTGTTTTCACTTTAAGGTATATTTATTACTGCAACTAACCTATCTTTCAAACTCATGTCTTTTTGCTTCAAAGCTTTACCTTTTGTCAGACTCTGCTGGTCAGTGTATAGTAGCAGTTTGAGCAATTGGACTGTAATCAATCAGTCTGTCTCGTGCACACATTTGAAAAATCTACTAGTAGTGAGTAGTCAATAAATATCTCAGTAAGAAACTGCTGAACCAAAAACTTGATCCAAAAAGCAATTTATAACTTACTTCTCCTGTGTCACACCCAAAGGTTTCAGCAACCTAATGAAGCAACCTGTTTAACAATAGGTTAACAGCTATATAAAAGGGACTCTCCAACAGAGAAGACATGAAACTGGGAGCATTCTTTTCCAGATGAAGAGTGATTTGTTACACTCATCTATAGTTTAGACCGAACTATACTGTGAACCATAAATATACAGTAGATCTTTTCAGGTAGTAGGGAGGCCTCTTTGACAAGTACGTTTTAGTTCCCAAGAATGATGAGCTCTGGAAATAGTTGTGTTTGCAGATCTAATAACGGTGCAGTCTTGGAGCTGACACTATGGCTTTGTGCACTGAAACAGTTGGAATTGATGTCTTGTCTCTTTGATGCAGTCGGTTCAGACTTAAGGGTGAAGTGGTATGTAGGGATCTCAGAGATGCTTGAGGCAGTTTATGGTTCTCCCAGATGATAAATTACTCTTTGGTAGCTAAGACTGGATATGTTCCAGAAAGCACCCCAAGCAGACACGGAAGGGCATCAAAAGTTCCTTTTCACAGATAAGATGACGTTCATGCACAAAAACCCTAAGAATTCTTTCAAGATAGACAAGATTGGACAAAAACTGTATTTTGCAGAGAGGCAGACTCAATACAACGGGAGACTTGAAACATCTTTTTGTAGATGAAAATGTGTCAGGTCTTCAGCACTTAAAATTCACCGCTTTTACTTCCCTGCTGAGTAAACGGAGCAAAGTTCCTTCTGAAGAACAGCTCCATCTCCCTACCGTATGCCTGGAGAAAACAAATATTGACCCGTATGGCAATAAAGAGAGTAGTTAGAAGGCATGAAAATAGTACGTATTAAAACAGCGGGATTGTTTTCTGCAGTACAGTCGCTTTGCATCAAGGCTGGATGCGAAATGTAAGGGGAAAGGATTTCTCATCACTTCAGGAAACTTTCAAATCCTCTGTTACCTGGGCTAGCTGGAAAGTAGAAACATGTACAAACCGATTGGGCATCACCCATCCACAACTGGTATCACAAAAGAGGCTAGCGGAAATAGAAATTGAGGAAGACCATGATACTATCCTTCAAAAACTCAGATGGAAGTGGAAAATGGAGAGCCCCTGCAGCTCTAGTTGAATGGCTACTTCTGGTCCTCCCCAATCCCATATATCTTAAACAGTCTGAACAGTAGTTGCCAGCAGAGCTCTATCAAAGGACCAGTTTTTATTTTGTATCTGAATGCAGAAGAGGTTTGAGAATTCACAGATTTGCTACATGATGAAAATATTACCTTTTCTGACACATGCAGCTTTTTTTCCCTCCCGAAGAATGTAATGAGACTTTGCTCGTGATGCAGCAAAATGTTGTTTGTTTGTTTTTTTGTGTGTGGCTGCTTTGCAACTTCTTGTTTTGGGGGGAAAAAACCACCGCTCAAAAATTTGAGGTGAACCTGGAAAAATGTTCCATGTTTGCCTAGAAATCTTTTTTTCTAACTCCTTACCAGTTTGGAGAATTTTTTCATTTTGCCCTAGCGGGGGGAGTCTAAACTATAAGGGAAGAAGAGCAGATGTTGGCCAGTACTTGAAATGTTAGCCTCTTTTTGTGACTTCTAGGGAACAGGTTTTTTTCACACGTCTTCCTACCCTTCCATTAGGATGATTATTCACCACCCAACTTTAATGTGTCCCTTACTAACGCAGCCATTTTAGATCTTGGAGGTAAAGGAAAGTGCTCCATTAGCAAACTTGCTGTTACTTTTGCTTTGAAAACTGGCTTTATCTTCCTTCATTTGAGTTCCTTGTCTTCTTCCTCTAGTACCTTATGCTTCAGCTTAATCACAATACATTAATAACAGCAGTGTTGTGAAAGCAAGTCTGCCCATTAACTCTTCACCAGGTTTTTAGGTGAAAAAGGATCCCGACCCAAAAGTTAACTTTCCGTTTTATTATGTAAACAGCATCTATGTTTTGTATGTAGCGTACTGGCAAGGCTATTCCAGACATGGGTATTCATTGAATCACTGACAAGATTAAAGATTCTTGTGAAGCAGATGACTAAAAATGTGTGTTACTTTTTAAACCCTACTTTAAAATACTTAGAAATAGGAATGTTATTGCAATATTAACTGGAACCTTCAAATGTTTAAAATTATTTGGCAACTTTATAGTTTTCTTGTTTCCTAAAGTTAGTTAAAAGTTTGGAGTTGCTGCTGAGTTTATTTTCTTGTTTGATTTCAGTAAAATACGAAAGAATCAAATTCTTGGTAATCGCTTTGAAGAGTTCGGTGGAAGTCTATGCATGGGCACCAAAGCCATACCACAAATTTATGGCCTTTAAGGTAACAGTCTATTTTAACCGTCTTTGGGCTTTCTAATGTATATTTGCAGTTATAGAACTGCTTTTATAAAAACGTTTGAACAACCCACAATGTTGATATATAGTTACATGTTCTCTAGTAAATCTGTCACTAATTCTGGATTACATTACAATGCCATTATTGATGTTTATTAGATGAAAGTCTGTGTATGTAACTAAATTAACATTCTGAATTGAAACTCTGAACATAAACCATAAATGGAAAACCTAACAAGGAGATTGCTCAGGGTGACAGCATCATGTGGCAGCTGCAGAAAAGCAGACAGTTGTGCAGCTGTGGGAGTGACTCCTGCTTAAGGAGAGTGAAAATTTAAGGCCTTGCTGGACTTCTCTCCTCTCTGCGGGTAATTTATTTTAAGTGGTCACATAAAACATGCAGAAGAAGCTCACTAAGGTTGTGAACCTCCAGACCAAGCTTCAATTCTAGGCAGATTAATTTTTGAGTACTACACAGGTGTGTGTTTTGTCCTCTACATATACAAATCAAGAGACAGATAATTGAGCCAAATCCCAATCTTGCTGCAAGTGAATAAATCACTAAATTATGTTAGTCTCACTTGTTTTTACAAGTGCTGTAAGAATATCGTTGGTCACATGGTATCATTACCAAACTAGTCGTGGAGTGGTAGTCCCTCCCCCTCTGGGCAGAGGGAGGCCACACCGCCTAACTACGCCGTTGGGACCACTGCCTAGTATCAGGGGAATTAGCATTAGGCATTAGTGTTCTGACCGGTCTAACAGGGCTGAGCCCCCAGATAGTCAATTGGTCCCGGCCCTTAGGCAGAAGCAGGGATCGCAGGGCCAGTAGGCTCTGGCCCTTAGGCTGGGGCTGAGCAGCTAACCATCTATTCCTCTGGGCCCTTTAAGCAGGGGCCGGGCAAATGCCTTAGTCTGTGGTCTCGGGGCCCTTTTGGCAGGGGCCAGAGTAGACACCGTAGTCTGCAGGTTCTGGGCTCATTAAGCGGGGCCAGAGTAAACCCAGCCATCTATAATCTCTGGGCCCTTTAGTCAGGGGCGGAGCAAACACAGGAGACAATTAGCTCCAAGCCTTTTAGTCGGGGGCAGAGCAAACACAATAGTCAATTAGCTGTGGGCCCATGGTCCAGGGGCAGAGCAAAAACCCAGGAGTCAGTTCTGGAAAAAGAACAGGGAGTACTTGTGGGACCTTAGGCAAATAAATTTGTTAGTCTCTAAGGCAGTGCTTCTCAAAGCCAGTCCGCCGCTTGTTCAGGGAAAGCCCCTGGTGGGCCGAGCCAGTTTGTTTACCTGGTTCGGCCGATCGCGGCTCCCACTGGCTGTGGTTCGCCGCTCCAGGCCAATGGGGGCTGCGGGAAGCAGCGCGGGCTGAGGGATGTGCTGGCTGCCCTTCCCACAGCCCCCATTGGCCTGAGACGGCGAACCGCGGCCAGTGGGAGCCGCGATTGGCCGAACCAGTGGATGCGGCAGATAAACAAACCAGCCCGGCCCGCCAGGGGCTTTCCCTGAACAAGTGGCGGCCCGACTTTGAGAAGCACTGCTCTAAAGTGCCACAAGTACTCCTCATTTTTTGCTGATACAGACTAACACGGCTACCACTCTGAAATCAGTTAGTTCTGGACCTTTGATGCAGGGGCAGAGCGAAAACCCAGGGGTCAGGTGTCCTAGCTCCAGTGGACAACTGACAAACGCAGGCCTTTTGACCTGGCAAGGGGAGGCTGCCACCCCAGGGATCCACCCTACTCCACCAGGCCCTGACCCAGGGCCTTAACGGGGGCAGAGTGATCCACCACTGGGTCAGCGGGGAATCCAGCTACAACACGCCTACCATGCTTCAGGCAGCATTACAGCCAGACTGAAGTCGGGTGTTGCTGGGCCACTTCATCCCCTCCCCTCGGGGTGTACCAGAAACCACGAGATATCTTCGTCTCCTCCAGGTAGGTGGCCAGTGGTAGTCCTGGCAGGTCCACGGCAGACACTGGTTCCCCAGCGGGCAGGGGGTCGCATGGCTCAGCTGCCGCGTCAGCAGGCTGGAGCAAGCAGGACATGTCTGTCTCCTTCAGTGGCCTGGCTCCAACTGAGCCAGAGGCTCTGCCTTTTATACTTCCTGTTCTGGTTACCCACCTCTGGTGGGAGGGGCGAGGCAGGTCTGGCTCCGCCCACTTGAGCACAGAGGGTGGTTCTTCCCCCTCTGGGTCAGCGGGAGGCCACACTGCACACTACACAAACTGTTGTGCAGAAGTTGAGATGGTCACTTACAAATTAAAAACATACTAAAGCAGTTTAACATGTCTTGATGATTAGTTTTTATTTTTGCTTCTTTAGTCCAGGGAAGTTGTTTTAGTTCATAATGTAATATGGCTGAATCCTGCACAGATATGATTATTCTGACCGCAATTCAGCAAAGCACATAAGCAGGGGCTTAACCTCAGTGGAATGCCTCACATCTGTAAAGGCGTGTCCTTAACCACGTTGCTGGATCAAGTGTGATGACTTTGCAGGAGCAAGCTGCCAGTGTGTGTGTGTGTGTGTGTGTGTGTGTGTGTGTTATAAGCAGACTCCCATCTCAGTGTTGTGTGCTAAGCAGAGATGTACATCTGACGACTCCTTTTAATTACTGTCTTGCAGTCATTTGGAGAATTGGTACATAAGCCATTGCTGGTGGACCTAACTGTAGAGGAAGGTCAGAGGCTGAAGGTGATCTATGGTTCCTGTGCTGGTTTCCATGCTGTTGATGTGGACTCAGGATCAGTCTATGATATTTATCTGCCAACACATGTAAGAATTGTGGCTCAGTATGGGATTTTTATTTCTTAGGGTTTTTTCCACTTACTTCACATTGAAAAGATATACAGGTGTTCAAATGCTGTGGTCTGATCATACCGAGAGCAACCATGCAGAAAAGTCATCTATTCCCTTCACTATGCTTTTCTAACTTCTGAAATTGTGATTATCACTTGTGGGTTAGTTAAAAGATAAGAGCATCTTGCACTTAAAAAAACTCCAAACCCACAAATAAAAAAATCCTCAACATTTTTTTCTTCATAGAACGTTACACCTCCTCTAAGTACTAGGTACAAAACATATTTTGTTAATGCCAGTCCTAATGCATACTCAAAATAATACAGTTAACAGGCCTGTTCAAGATCTTGAGGGCTTGCTAGTTCAGGCCTTGTGGTGGCTAGCGTGTCTTACAGCAAGAATGAAAATAACATAATTTTGTTAAAACAGATGTTGTGTAAAACAGTGGCTCTCAACCTTTCCAGACTACTGTACCCCTTTCAGGAGTCTGATTTGTCTTGCACACACCAAGTTTCACCTCACTTAAAAACTACTTGCTTATAAAATCAGACATAAAAATACAAAAGTGTCACAGCACAGCTATTAGTGATAAATTGCTTACTTTCTCATCTTTACCATATAATTGTAAAATAAATTGATTGGAATATAAGTATTGTACTTACATTTCAATGTGATGCTTGAGCCAGTTTTTCACTTGTGAGCCTTGTCTGAAGCCTGAGCCCCAGGCAGTAGGACTGAAGCATGTAACTTAGTTTTTTGGGGCCTCCTATGGCATGGAACCCCAGCATTTGCCCTGCTTGTCATACCTTAATGCTGGCCCTGCACTTGCAACCCTCCTAAACCTATTCCATGATCCCCCAGGGGCTGCAACCCCCAGGTTGAGAAACACTGATCTAGTTGAGTTGATGTACCCCTTGGAAGACCTCTGAATATCCCCAGGGGTACATGTTCTCCTGGTTAAGAACCGCTGGTGTAAAAGATATAAAACTATCCTATATCCGAACGTATACGGGATCTTACATTTAAAAAACAACAAACCGAAAAGGGTTGGTAAAGTATAAATATGTGAACATATTGACAAAAAAATCGTTGAAAGCAGATGACTGCAAGAGGAGCGACCTTTGACATGCAGTGAAAGCGCAGGGACTGAAACAATGGTGAGATCACCACCAGGTGGGAGGAGAGATGAGGCAGAGCAGGGCATCAGTTCCCTGAGGCCACTCACACAGCCTAGGCAGGACAAGGCTAAAAGAGGAGGCGTCCGTTACAGTCATTGATAGTTTTTAAGGGCAGTTCTGTGTGGGAGTGGAATTCTGGTGTGGGTTTTGTTGTGTGCTCTTGGTTTTCTTTGCAAGACAAACTTCTTTTTAACTTAAAAAGAAAGAAAAAAGTAAAGCCGTTCAATACATTTCTGCCTTAGAAGGTTACTATTGGTAAGAGTTCAAGACTTGCAAACATGAAGCCCTCCAAAATTTATAGAGAGAACAAAAATAGGATAATAATAGACTATATAGCTATAGCTAGTCTTGTATCACTTTGAAAAAAATAGTAAATTGCATAATTCCTTCATATGTATACTCTAGAATTATTAATCAAGTCCACTTCCAAGCCATTAGTAGAAACATTACTGATTTACATTTTTCTTTTCTACCTTTAAAATGAATTGACCAGAATTATTAAAAAATAAAATGAATTATCATTTTATTGCAGTAGACACAGGCAATTACAAAGCAGCTGGTGCACTGAGAAAATTAAATTTCAGAAATGAAATAAAATGACATCAGGAATTAAATATAAACTGGGTAATAGCTTGAAGAATAAGTATTTTATGGGTCTTAAAGATCACCTGAATATATTACCTTTATTTGCACCTAGAGGCCCCAACCAAGTCCAGGCCCTCCCTGTGCTAGGCGCTCTACAAACACACCATCAGAGATCATCCCTGCCCCAAAGTTCTTACAATCTAACCAGATAAATGGTGGGAGTGGACACAAAAGGACAGGGAGGTGAAGTGACTTGCTCCAGGTCACACAGCAAGTGAAGGGCAGAACTGGGAATACAATCCAGGCTCTGGAGTCCCAGTCCAGTGCTCTGCGCTCTGGCTCGCATTGCCATATTACCGTCTAGCTCAGTCAGCACTGAAAATCTCAACCGCAGACTAATGAAGGCATCACTACAGGTCATACAATAGAACTGGTCAGTCAAATATTCTGGAGATGACAGTTCGATAGGACTTCGATATTGATATATGTCTCCTAAGGGCCCTTACCTCATCATGGCCTGCTTTAAAACAAAAGGTAGCCAGCCCTGTATACTGGAGTAGCTCATGTAAAAAATAGTCTTTGCTTTTGTTTTGCTTCTGTAGATCCAGAGCAGCATCCAACCACACGCAATCATTATTCTCCCAAACACCGATGGAATGGAGCTGCTGGTTTGCTATGAGGATGAAGGGGTTTATGTTAATACCTATGGGAGGATCACCAAAGATGTGGTTCTGCAGTGGGGAGAGATGCCCACATCAGTTGGTATGTATCCTGTGAGAATCAAACGTAACCTGTAAAGTGGGTCGGCAACCTTTGGGACATGGCCCATCAGGGTAATCCACTGGTGGGCTGCGAGACATTTTGTTTATGTTGACTATCCACAGGCACGGCCCGCCACAGCTCCCAGCGGCCGCGGTTTGCCGTTCCCAGCCAATGGGAGCTGTGGGAAGCGGCGGCCAGCACATCCCTGTGGTCCACATGCATGTTTATAGAGTACTGGGGTAAACAAAATAGCTTATTGAGCATAAGGTTCCTAATAGTCTGCTGAAAATAGATATATTTTTGCTAAGTTGTGATAACCTGCATTTCTAAAGGGATTTGGGCTGGTATTATTTTGAGAGATTTCTTAATTGATAATAGGCTTATATGTGATTTGATAGTCTTATTGTGATCACATTTCTTTCTATGACAGTTAACTCCAGACTAATTCCCATTAAAGTAAATGGAAAGACTTAAACTAACTTCAGTGAGAATTGGATTGGGCCCCTACTGTTTGTTCTTGTAAACGTTAGGGGCCAGATTCTCAACTTGTATAAACGGTCATAGCTCCAATTGAAGTCAATGGAGCTATGAGAATTTACACCAACTGAAGATCTTGTTTAGTGATTTTAAGATGATGTGTTAGTGGTCAAATTGCCCTCCTCTTCTCCCCCTCCCCCCCCAAAAACCCTAAACAAATAAAAAGCTCATTAATATGGTAAATATTCTTATACCATAGCAAGTTATGTAATTTAATTCCCCTATAAATTAACAGTCAATGATGTTCTTGTATGAAATAGGAGTGCTATTAAATATTTGAGACTTAACATTTTAGAACATCCTTGCTAAGATCTGCTAAATCGCAATTTTATTTTTTTATTGAAAATACACCCACAAACCAGAGGCAGCTCCTTTTTGGCTTGTTAAATCCTTGTTAAATCCCACACCTTCGTGTGATGAACCCTATGTGTATTCCACACGTGGGTATGCATGCAAGTCATGCGCCCAAGTCCAGAAATTCTTCAAAGCAATGCCAACCACGTCTCCTCCTGTCAGCTTTAGGGGCCGTCTCACGCTCTTTGCCCACAGCTGGATCACCAGTGGGGTCCTGGAGATTATCTATCAGGGATACTCCATAGAGTTTGTCTCCTTCCCTCCTCACAAACTCCCTTCGGGGACAGCTCTCTCCAATTGATTCTTCATCATAAGGCGGAATCCCTTTTATACAAGGGGACGATACATGTCCTACCTCAGTACCAAGGGAGAGGGTTCTACCTCCCCATATTTCCTAATCCCCAGGAAAGAGGGTGGGAGTGGAAACCTACCATGGATCTTCAGCAACTAAACATCATTATCCGAAAGCTGAAATTCAGGATGATTACTCCGGCATCCAGAAGCCCCTCCCTTCAGGAAGGGATGTACTTTGCAGCTCTTCACATGAAGGAGGCATATTTCCACATGGACATTCACCCATCCCGCAAGAATTTCCTGCGTTTCATGGTGGGAGAAGAACAGTATCCGTTTCAGGTCCTCAGTCCTTTGGACTCACTACTGCACCCAGGATATTCATGAAAGTTTTCTATGTGGTAGTAGCCCAGATGAGGCACCAGGGCTATACAATGTTCCCATATCTGGACAACTGATTCCTGGCAGGCCGATCTTATCAGGAAGTCATGTCAATCACAGGATCTCTTGAACAACATCTTGTTAGATCTGGTTTGTCACCCACAAGGACCATAAACTTTATCGGAGCACTACTGGACTCAGTCTCTGCGAGAGCATTCTTCCTCGCAGGCAGATTTCACATGATGAACAACCTGATTTACCGCCTCACCTGCAAACAGCGTACTACAGTGCACCAGTGTCTCTCGCTGTTGGGCCACATGTATCTATGTGATGCTGTTCCCCAGATTCCACATGCGGAGTCTGCAAGCTTGACTTACTGGCTAAACAGGGTCTGCATCAACTCCAAGGTGACTGTTCTCGCCCTCCCTCGCTTGATGGTCAAACCAACCAAAGTCATGGTGGGAACTCCTTTCAGCCGTCCCATACCAAGAGCCACCATTTTGACAGAGACCTCTCTTATAGGGTGGGGCGCTCACCTGGACTGCCACACTGTTCAGGTTACTTGGACTCCACAAGGGATCAGTCTGCATATAAATTTACTGGAACTGAGGCTGGTCCACCTTGCATGCAAGGACTTCCTTCCCCTCATATGCTTGTTCCATGTATAGATAATGCCAAGCAATATCACCATGGTGTTGTATGTAAACAAACAGGGAGGAGAGAGATCTCATTTCTGCCTAGAAGCAGACAGATGTTGGAACTGGTGCATCAGAAACCACGTCACAATACAAGCTGCTTACTTCCCAGGTGTTCACCACTCCCTAGCTGACAAACTTAAGCAGTTTCTCTGCAGACCACTAATGGGAGATCCACGACACAGTCTAACCAAGATATTTATGCAATGGAGTACTCCATTATGGGACAAAGTATTTGCCTCCCGGACAAACAGAAAACTTCCCCTGTATTGTTCCAGGGAGGCCATGGTTCGTGATTCCAAGGGCGATGCTCTCCTGGACAGATTGCCTCAGATATGCCTTTCCGCCCATCCCGCTACTGCTGAAGGTCATAGGGAAGAGCCATCGCGACAGAGCCACCATCATCCTCCTAGCACCCTCCTGGCCAGACAATTCTGGTTCACAGAACTTGTAACGATGTCTGTACACATGCCTATCAGGATCTGCCCATTTCTGGATTTCCTAACCCAGGACACGGGGGGAAAATCAAGCACCTCAACCTGAACTCACTCCACCTCATGGCCTGGTATTTAGATAGGCATCAGAAATAGAACAGTCATGCTCTGCCCCCGTTCAGGAAATCCTTAACCCAAGTAGAAAGGATCCTATTAGAGCAGGGGTGAGCAAACAATGGCCCGCAGGCCACATCCGGCCCGCGGGACCGTCCTGCCTGGCCCCTGAGGACCTGGCCTGGGAGGCTAGCCCCCGGCCCCTCCCCTGGTGTCCTCCCTCCCCCGCAGCCTCAGCTCACTCGGTTCGCTGGGCAGCAGGACTGTGAGCTCCTGGGGCGGCGCAGCTGCAGAGCCCAGCCTGACCCAGTCTCTGTGCTGTGTGGTGGTGGTGGCGGGGGCAGCATGGCCCGGCTCCAGCCGGGTGGCGCGGCTGTAGCGCCGCCAGCCACCGGTGCTCCAGGCAGCGTGGTAAGGGGGCAGGGATCAGGGGGGTTGGATAGAGGGCAGGGGTGTTCAGGGTAGTGGTCGGGGGCGAGGGTGTGGATAGGGGTCAGGGGGGAAATGGGGTTGAATGGGGGCAGGGGTACCAGAGGGGCAGTCAGGAAGGACGGGGAGTTGGATGGGGCAGCAGGGGGCAGTCAGGGACAGGGGTTCCGGGGGCAGTCAGGGGACAGGGAGGAGGGGTGGTTGGATGGGGTAGGGGTCTCAGGGGGGCCATCAGGAATGAGAGGAGGGGTTGGATGGGGCGGCGGGGGCCCGGGGGCAGGCCAGGGGACAGGGAGCAGGTGTGTGTGGATGGGGCAGGGGTCCCAGAGGGACCGTCAGGGAACAGGGGGGTTGGATGGGGCAGGAGTCTGGGGGGGGGGGGCAGATAGGAGGTGGGGGCCAGTCCACGACCCCCTCCCCTAACCGGTCCTCCATACAATTTACAAAACCCGATGCGGCCCTCAGGCCAAAAAGTTTGCCCACCCCTGTACTGGAGCCTCCTACCTAGCTAAATGGAAGGGCTATTTGGCCTGGGCACGCCTCTGCCAACATTCACTAGATACTGCGAGCACCCCAGTTAGCCTAGGCTATCTCCTCTCCTTTAAGACTGCAGGCCTAACCCTTCCTCCCTCTGTCTTTACTCACCCGGCGACTGTGCAATTTATGAAGGGCTTGATCAGAACCTTCCCACTGGTCTTTAAACTTGTGCTTCAATGGGACCTTAACCTTGTCCTGTTGACACTCACAGGTCTGCCCTTTGAACCTATGGCAACATGTGCCATGACCTTCTTAGTGGCCATCACTTCAGCCAGAAGAGTCATTGAACTAGGAGCCATTTTGGCAGACCCTCCCTATACAGTGTTTCACAAAGGGAAGGTTTCCTTTAGGTTATGCCCAAATTTCTTCCCAAGATTGTTTCTGAGTTTCACATCAGTCAGTCAATAGTTACCTGTATTTTTCCCCAAACCCCATGCTTCTTCTGAAGATAAGAGACTTCACTCACTTGATGTCAGGCATGCCCAGGCATTCTACCAGCAGAGAACCAAACCCATTAGAAGTTCTCCAGTATTCTTTATTGCCATAGCACAGTGGTTTTCAACCTTTTTTCATTTGCGGACCCCTAAAAAATGTTGAATGGAGGTGCAGGTCCCTTTGGAAATCTTAGACATAGTCTGCAGACCCCCAGGGGTCTACGGACCACAGGTTAAAAATCAGGGCCATAGCAGAAAGATCGTGTGGACAAGCCATATGCTCTCAGAGGATTTCCAAGTGGGTTTCGGGATGCATCTTAGAATGATACAAAATAGCAAAAATTTCCCCTCCTGGGGGTATAACAGCTCACGCCCTATGAGCACAAGCTGCTTCCTCAGCATCCTTATGGTACGTTCCACTGCAGGACATTGCAGAGCAGCAACTTGGAGTTCTGTCCACGTGTTCTCGAGATGGTACGCTCTAGTACAAGCAGCGACTGCAGATGCAGCTGTAGGAATGGCAGTACTACAAGCATCTCTGCTGCCACCGTCCTCGCACCCTCCCCTAGTTTGAACACTGTTTGCCAGTTACCCATGTGACACCCAGGGACCGTCACTCGAAGAAGAAATGGAGGTTACTTTACTGTAACTGGAGGTTCTTTGAGATGTGTGGTCCCTATCTGTATTCCACTACCTGCCCTCCATCCCTTCTGCTTGGGATCCAGTTGGGTTGTGGAAAGAAGAACTGGAGAGGTGTCAACCCGCACTGCCTTTTATGCCCTTGGATGGGGGTGCAAGGGGCACTACTGTACGTTTGTGGGTCAATGGACACAGCTTTGAAGAATTTCCGGACTCAGGCGTATGACACACAAGCGTACCCATGTGTGGAATACAGATAGGGACTACACATCTCAAAGAACCTCCAGTTACAGTAAGTAACCTCCATTTATCTTTGTTAGAGCTCATCAGAATAACACCTGGATTATCTGTTGACTATACCTTTTTATAATGGCAGCTTTTTCTTTTTGAGATTTTACTGCATCCTTGTAGTAATTACTGAACAACTACAAGAATTCTTTTCCTTCTGCTGGTACCAAGCTCTTTAGCTAATGGAGATTAGAGGTGACATTCAAAGAAAAAAGTGTCTTGTTTTGCTTTTTTATAATGATGGAAAGGAGACCTACAGTCGCACTTTGAAAGCTACAGGAAAAGTTGTGTTATCTGGCACTTTACAAAATGGAAAGCTCTATGGGCATTTCGGGAGCGGGTGTGGGGCGTGGGCTCTGTGAGGGAGTTTGGATGCGGGAGGGGGCCCAGGGCAGGGGTTTGGGGCACAGGAGGGGTTTCAGGGTGCTGGATCCAGGTGGCGCTCACCTCAGATGGCTCCCCGCAAGCAGCGATATGTCTGGGGAGGCGCGGCCAGGCGGCTTTGTGCACTGCATCTGCCCGCAGGCGCCACCCCCCACAATTCCCATTGGCTGTGGTCAATGCTCCTTGGTGGAGGAATGGCCATGGGGGTTCTGTGCGCTGCTCCCGCCCCACCCCGAGAGCTAGCTCTGCAGCTCCCATTGGCCGGGGACCGTGGCCAATGGGAGTTGCAGGGACGGTGCCTGTGGGCAGAAGCAGCACACAGAGCCGCCTGGGTGGGCCTCTCCAGACATGTCACTGCTTGCAGGGAACCACCCGAGGTGAGTGCCGCTTGGATCCAGCATACTGAAACCCCTCCCACACCCCAACTCCCTACCCTGAGCCCGCTTCCATTCCCAAACTCCCTCCCACACCCCTACCCTTGCCCCAACCCCCAGCCCTGAGCCCCCTCCCACACCCAAACTCCCTCCCTCTTAGCTAACCGGAATTTTTGATTTACTGGTGTGTGTGCATGCACGCGTGCACACATACACACACTCACGCACTCACTCCCCCAACATGCCGGATAACAAAGCTTTTACTATATCGTGGTCCTATATAAAATACAGAGAATATCTTTCAAACTAGTAGAATTTTTCAGAATGGAAGAAACTTTTTAAAAAATATGCCAACTGTAAAAGACTTTTGTTTTTTTACATGAGCAATTTTCCCCCTTGTATCAATTTCTGTTTTTGCTGGCGGACTCCTTGGAGGAGAATTATAATTAGTGGATTTATAACACCACAAGAGACATAACTGAAACCTGGGTAGTTAAGACGGGAAAGGATTTTACTCCATTTAAATCTCGAGTTCTGTTTTTTCATTATTGCCTACATCTAATTAACCCTATCTGCTGGCAACACTTAGGAGAAAAGCTCTGTGTAAAACTGAACGCTCAAACCATTTAATTGAGAGTTGTGAAAGCTCCCATTTTCACTTTAGCCTTCCAATGAATACTCCAGCAAAAAGGATACTTTTGGTAAAAACAAACAAACAAACAAAAAAAACAACCAATCCCTCCCCCCCTTAAAAAAAATTAAACTGTTCTCGCCTTATGCATCATAAAGAAATTTTTTTTTTAAATAAAAAGGTAATTTTTTTCTTTGCAGGCCACCTTTAAGAGAGAGGGTTTTACAATTGCTGTATGTTGTTCTTTAATACGTGGTGGGTTTTTGTTTTGTTTCTATAGCATACATTCGATCCAATCAGATTATGGGCTGGGGAGAAAAGGCTATTGAGATACGATCAGTGGAAACTGGGCACTTGGACGGCGTGTTCATGCACAAAAGGGCACAAAGACTCAAGTTCTTATGTGAGCGGAATGACAAGGTAGTTGCAATTTCTTGCCTTCAGTTACGCCATGTTCTTTAATTGCCTTATAAATATCTTGAACATTAAAGCTTAACACAAATCTCTGCTGTCTGTCTTACTCATCAGACTTTGGTGAGCAAGCAGATAATCTGAACGCTTGGCTACCATTGTAAATAGTTTTTGTCTCTTTCTTCACAGGTTTTCTTTGCTTCTGTACGGTCTGGTGGAAGCAGTCAAGTTTATTTCATGACCCTAGGCAGGACTTCTCTTCTGAGCTGGTAGAAGCCATGTGATTTGACAAGGGATTGCTGACATCCAGAGTCTTCAAGATTCTCATAACTTGGAATTATTAGTAACTGGAGTACAGACCTGCACTGATGCAAGCACTCCATCTGAATGTGTGTGCGGGCATCACTAGTGTTAGGTTTCTTTTGTTTTTAAACTGAGGCTGCAATGCAGCTGGTGCTGTAAAGATATTACCATCAGGTGCTATAAGTCTTTGAGATTTGGGATCACACTAGAAAGCATCAGGTCTTTTCCCCGTCCCCCCGTTCAGCTCCAGAATACCTAGGCTTTGAATGACTCCGTTTGTTAGTGTGAAAAGAGAGAGGCTCATCATGAACATGTTGTTGATTTGGCAGGAGGCAGGCAAGAGAAGGTGACAAGTGGTGGTGAGAGTCAGTCTTGCTGAAGCAGAGGGCAGATCTAATCTAGTAATGTTAACAATGTATTTAATTGACATTTCTTTTTTGTAATGTGACAATATGTGGACAAAGAGGAAGGTGCAGGTTTTAAGAAGTTAATATTTATAAAATGTGAACGACACAGTGGCTAGGATAACTTCTTTTTTGGGGACAGGGTGGGAGGGCGGGGGGTGGAATTCTTGGTTTTGTTTGGTTGGTTTTATTTTGGCCTGGCCAAGAGCTTAGTCATTTTTCTGTGTACCAGGTTTTGCCTGAAACGTGCAGATGATAAAAAGTTTGTTCATTTTCTATAATGATTCTGTGTTAGGACAGAACTTGGTGATGTCACAGTATTAGCACTGCCTCAGTTAAAGGTTTAATTTTTGTTTAAACCTAGAAGTGCAACAACAGTTTTACCACAGTCTGCACTTGCAGAATGGAAAAAAAAAATTCCAAACAACATATGTTTATTTTTTTGTGCCTACCTCATTGTTTTTAATGCATAGAAGAGGTGGTTTAGTTTATACGTTTTTAGAGGAAAAACCATTAATGTCTAATTTAAACTTAATACCAAAACTACCAGATGAAAGGTTTGACTGTTATTCTGTAGCAAGTTTCAGCAGAAAAGGAGAGTAGTCCATTGAGATGGTTGAAATAGCCTTATGGCAATGAGACACCGACTAATGTAATTGCTTACTAAGTTTGGAAATCAAATATTTTTAGCAACTTCATCAGTAATGGAAGATTGATGAATTTAGCCTAAAACCAGAGGTTTCACTCTTCTAACATGTGGGCTTAGTAACAGGCAGGTAACAATAACTAGTCTAGTTCTATAAACTGTTAAATGTTGTAGGAAACATTTTGGGGAGGTGATGTTTTTCTTTTCTAAGAATGCAATGCACTAAAACTATTTTAAGAATGTAGTTAATACTGCTTATTCATAAAACAGCATATACTTGTGTTTAGGTGTAAGATCCCAGCTCTGGCTCCCCCCCCCTTTTTTTTTAAAGTCAGTTTTATTTTATGAATAAGTTTCTGACATTTGTAATAAATGTCACAGAGTAATAATTTGTTTAATGGCTACATGTTCATTACTTGAGAAATCTTGAGTGTATAATAATCTGTTGGTGATGTAATAATGCACAGTGTCATGATTCAACCATTTTTATTTTATTTTATTTTTTTTGTTTTGGTGGGGTACTTTGTTGACAGCTGCCTTAAGCTGTTCATTCAGTGAACAGGCTCTCAGTGTTTCACGGGCTTTGTCTTCTGCTGTGCTTAATTTACTTTCATGGCATGACAGGTAGGGCTTTTTAAACATTCTTGAGTCAAACAGATTGATTGTTCAAGTGACTGGTCACTTGATTGCTTTAATAGTAACAGCACCAACTGGGCAAGTGTTTTGCTCGACGAACCCCTCTTTTGGCATCAACCCTGACTGCTGTAAATTCTTCTAATCTAATCAGCGTTTTTGCTGAAAGTTCTCCTTTGAACATCAGAAACAGTTTAAAAGGGAGCTGGTGTGTACGTACACACACACACACACACACACATATCAAGAAAGCCTTACATTTGCTGGCAGAAGAGTACTTAGAAATATTTTTTTAAATTGTTTGACTTTTGGATAGCACCGAAGGTTAAGGGTGGGGACACATTTCTTCAGTCTCTGTTACAATCAGCCAGAAGAGCTATCAGTTCTCTGTACTATGAACTAAAGGGACTCAGAAGTCCGACATAATCATAGACATGGATGTAATCACAAGATGGCCCTGTAGCATAATTAGCTGACACTGATCAATTCAATGTCATTCTGCATGGTTTTAATTCTTACAGCGCTGTGTGGTTAAATGGATTTAGTTCTTGTCCCCACCTCACACACTACCTTGGAAATCAATATGATTTGTGTACATGAGAATGTTCCAGGGATTCCCCAGGTTAAGGATATGTGCTTTTGAAGTTCCTATGCTTCCGGAGGGAAACTCATTCACTGGAACTGCTGGATGGCAGCTTCTGCCTCCACGGAAGTCCCAAGGTGGCCAAACTACAAGTAAAAACAGTGTTACAAAACCACTACATCTAGAGCGTTGAACTCTTTAAACAGTGCTTTTGTAAGAGCAGAAACAAAGCTCCTAGGTTTAGTTTTAAGCTTTAATAAGTAATACTTTCTGTATCTTTGTCAAAGTAACCCTAACTGTATGACTGCAGTGTTTTATTTTTATCTTATGCACATGTTATGTTGGAGAAAATGTTTACAAAAATGGTTTTGTTACACTAATGTGCATCACATATTTATGGTTTATTTGAAAGTGATTTTTGTGGGTTTTTTTAGTTTTTCATATTAGTAATAGTACACTTTTTGTGACTTATAACCCCAAACTCTGCTGATTATAAAGATGCTAAACAATAATACAAATGACAAACTGCATTAAAATTACTAATTATAGAGCTGCAAAGCAGACTGGTGACAAGTAAACACTCAGCCTTTTTTTTGCAGTGCTATCTAACTTGTCTTCTGTGTATTATGGATATTACTGTTTTTTTCCCCATTTTTCCTTAAATAAAGTCAAAATGACACCTACTGGATGTGGAAAGTATTTTAAACATTTTTCTGCTCCTGGAGAACCAAGGTGTTTACTACCTTATTCCACTGAAGGTGATAAAAAGCAACATTACCAAATCTCATGATTTTACTGCAAGTTCAGCAATATTTGGTATTTTTATTTAAGCCCCAACTCCTGGAGCCAAAATAATTTCATGAGAATCTCAGCTTTATTGTTTGTGGTTTTAATTTTTGGTCCTCATAGTTGTGTTGAAAAGCTTTAAAATGTAAATCAGTTGCACCCAAAGGTTCAGAAGACACTCAAAGGGAACCTAAAATGGTGGTGGTTTTTAAAATCTCATGATTTTTGGGGGTGGTATTACTAAGCAAGTGTGGTGAACTGAAATCTAGGGGCAGATCTCAGCAGGTGTAAAGGATGTAGCTCCATTGAAGTCCAGGCCTACCAAGTGTAAGTAAGGGAGGAGTGGACAAAACTGTTACAGAGCTCCCACTTGCACTGCCTGGTCCTGGCCGTACCCTGTACATGCTTTCCACCATGCACTGTTTGCTTTCTGTAGTGGGGATTAAAGAAAATGCCTGTTCTAAACAAGTTGACTTGTTGTGTAGGTTGCTGCCGAAACAGGAAGTCTGCTCACACAGCAGGCACGCGTTCAGGATTCCCTCTCCTTTTGAGCTGTAGAAGCTTGCCATAGGTTGTAAGTTAATAAAAAATATTTCTGTGCTTCTTTCATTTTATGTAGACGAGCAAGGCTTCTGCAAATTGTTCAGGTCCACAGATACCCCGTTCTCTTGACTTTAGAGTCCAACTGCTGTTCAAGAACAACAAAAAGTAGCAGAAGACATTAGTTGCTAGCTAAACTCAACCTGACTCTTGCCTAATGCCTGATCCAGAGCTACAGGATTTCCTCAGTGAAACTGGCAAGCAGTCAAAGAAGAAAACAAGCATATTCGCCTTGAGGGCTTGTCTACATTAGAAAATCATATAATTTTAGAATGTTAGCTAAAATGATGCTAAACACAAGTTAGCACTCATCATGGGCAAAGACTGTCATATTTAATATTGGGGCAGCTGATTGTGGTTAATGCTAGTGATCAAATTTGATGTCCACTTACTGGGTGTTAGCAAAGGCAATGAAAAACATGGAAAGGTATCATACTCCACAGGAAAAAAATTACACAATTGCAGTGGGGAAGAGACTGGAAGAAGCCAACAAATCTTAAAAGCTGGGAGCCAAATATCATCCTTCTGTGTGGCTTGTGGGCTTGTCTATATGCAAATAGGCAAGCTGATGAGGCCGAAGGAAAATTATTTTTTCGGGGGGGACATGCAAAATAAGGGAGGAAAACCAGTGTATTGAATAATAACAATAATAAATTGCAGTTAGCCAGATAAAGTAAAAGCTAAAAACCAAAAAAGCCATTGCAAAAATAAAACCATGCAAGCTTTAAACATTTACATTCAAGTTGAAAATAAATATGAAAGATATAAAAGTGAAGACCAGTTGGTAAACAGAAGATTCAAGTTAAAACTATGTAAATATAAAAACAAAATAAAAGGAGGTACTCCTACTGGGGTGGCAGATCTGGAGAAGGATGCTTGCTGTGGAATTAGGATTTTATGGGAGCTGAGATGGAGCAAACTTCAGTTTTCTGGACAGCTTCCTTTGTGGAGAGAGGCTGTTGGTATGCAGAGTTTCTTTGTTGGACTGCATTTTTGATAATTTGTAATGAATGCCTAGAGTCTGGGATGAGGACTCTGTTGGAATTTGAAGTGGAAAATTGAAATAGTAATAAAAAAGATGCAGCAGAAATGCCACAAATGCAAATGAAAGAAGCATACCTATGGCAGGTAGAAGGTTTCTGCAGCGCCGTAAACTTAACACTGGATTCTGCAGTGACAAAATTGCAGAAACCACGAGACCTTGCTTATAATGATAGATGTTCCATTTCCACTATTAGCATTTAACACAACACCAGCCCATTTTACTGTCAACTGTAGCGTCCATCTCTCTGTTACTGTGAATAACTCTACTACCAGTGCAGAACTTCCAGATCTCCTTGGCAAGCTGCCTCAAAGTCACCTGGGCACATTGTCATGCAGCACTGTGAAGAAGAAACCAGTTTAATTCCAAATGGCTCATTCAGTATTAGTTTTGAAGAATATCATAAGGGAAATGTCTGTCAATACTAATCTTGTCTACTTATGGGTGGCTGATTTTTTTTCCCCTTTCATTCAGATTTTTAGTCCCAGAAGTTAAATGGTGAGAATATTTGTTTGACAACTTGAGAAGAATATCTCATTTGCCAGAATGTACTCTCCCTGCCGATCTAAAGAAAACACTACAGTACATGTCAGGGATGAAAGTTCAAAGAGCAGCTTTTGCAGAGTGGCTGTGAGAACTGGGGGAGCAAGGATGGATCCCAGGACACACACATCTTTGGTGGAGCTCTGGCATCAAGATGATGATGATGATAATTTTCATCCCAGGATCACATGTTAGATCTTAAAATGTAGAACCCCTTTTGATTTTAAAAACATCAATGCAACGTTCTGAGGTGATATAAAAGGAGGATTTAAAACTGAGTGTATTGATATTGCTGTGAATGGGGATAGTTGATATTGCTGTAGAGGCCACATATCACGGAATTAGGAGAGAGGAGAAGAGTAGCTTCAATCTCAGTTTTCTTTGTGGTCATGTCACTTAGCAATGACACAAAGAATGCTACTCTGAGAGAGTCACTTTCTGTGTGAAGTGCTGCCTTGGCTCACAATTCCTGAAGGGGTTTCAGATTGGTAGCTGTGTTAGTCTGTATCAGCAAAAACAACGAGGAGTCCTTGTGGCACCTTAGAGACTGACAGATTTATTTGGGCATAAGCTTTTGTGGGCTAAAACCCACTTCATCGGATGCATGGAGTGGAAAATTCAATAGGAAGATTTATATAACAGTATATGAAAAGATGGGAGTTGCCTTACCCAGTGGGGGGTCAAGACAATTCAATTAAAGTGAGCTATTATCAACAGGATGAAAAATCACTTTTGTAGTGGTAATCAGGGTGGCTCATTTCAAACAGTTAACAAGAAGATGTGAGTAATTAGCATGGGGAAATTCAGGTTTTTTTAGTTCTTGTAGTGACCCATCCACTCCCAGTCTTTATTCAGGCCTAATTTGATGGTGTCCAGTTTGCAAATTAATTCCAGTTATGCAGAATTTCCCCATGCTAATTTCCCCCTACTGTTACTCACACCTTGAAACTAGCCCACTTTAATTGATTTGTCTCGACCCCCCACTGGATAAGGCAGCTTCCATCTTTTCATGTACTGCTATATATATATCTATATCTATATATATATCTATAAATATATATATATCTTCCTACTGTATTTTCCACTCCATGCATCTGATGAAGTGGGTTTTAGTCCACAAAAGCTTATGCCCAAATAAATTTAATTCCTGAAGAAAGTTCCTTTTAAAATACACCAACCCTCCTTTTCTCCCCTAGTGTCTTGCTCTAATTCATCCCAATCTCAAGTCTAAAATTAAAAATGGGGAGAAGAGTGTTCTGTTATTTAAAAGAGCAAACTGTTAATTTAATGCAAATGTACCATTCCAGTGGGAAGCTAAAGCCACATGGCAGGGGGTTTTCCTGTGTTGAACTAAAAAAAGGAAATTGGGTTTAACATTTACACGGAGGCTATTGTGATTTTACAGGGTAAATAGTATATGACATGGGAAAGCTATTCAAATCTTCCAACTGTGCTTTATGCCACTCACACTTTACTTATTCTCTCTGTGAAGTGCTGTTTCACAACTTCATGCTTGTCATTCGGCATAATTTGTCAGTTAAAAAGGGATTTTGGCACATTCAGTTTCAATTTAATTTCATATTTATATATATTAAATAACCTTTGCCTACACCGGGTTACCCATGTTCAAGTGTTTTCAGTACTCTGAAACAAATATAGAAAAGTATGGGGATTTTGTAGTATTTTACACTTAGCCTTTTATCTCAAAGTGCTTATAACAATTCTCAGGAGAACCTTGTGAGAGATGATTGATAAGATTCCAGTTTTTGAAATAGGGGACGTTGAAGCACAGATGAGGGTAAGTGATTTGCCCTAGGTCGCAATAAAACAGAATTCTAGATAGTCTGGCGCTCTAACCACTAAACGAAACTACCTCCCCAGGATGGCAGACTAGCCATTACACGAAACACTGAGTCTTTCCACTAACAAGAAATTCACTAATCACTAGCATTTTGGCTTATTCAGACTAAAAATTATTTGCAAATTTAGATCTGGTCAGAAATGGAAGCAGAAGTGGGAATTCATCATTGTTGTAAAGGTAATTTTTAATATTTTGTTGAAATTTGATTTTTCCAGTAATTTGACCAGCCCTTAGTAAAATGCAAATATTTTCATTTTATTAATGTAATTCTCATGTCAGTCCCTTGCTGACTCAGCTGCCATGTGCTGGAATCAATCTGACTCATTAACTCTGTGTGTGGATAGCATCCAGGGTTTGAGTACTTGTGTGTATTTATGGTGAGGACTATCTCAATTTGACACAACCTACAAACTGCTTAAGCGGCTTGCTAAAGATGGTAGTCAAATACTGGCAGAGTTGTGAACAGAACACCCCCAGGTTCGGATTCAGAGTTGCCTGATCTGAACTCCTCCTTATCCTCGGCAGGGCTCATAACCTGTTAGGGTTGCTTGACTTCCCATGCCTGACTTCAGGTAGGGTTGCCAACTTTCTGATTGCAGAAAACGAAACACCCCTATTCCACTCCTCCTCTGAGGCCCTGCTCCCACTCACTCCAACTCCCCTCCCTCCATCACGTGCTCTCCCCCACCCTCGCTCACTCATTTTCACCAGGCTGGGGCAGGGGGTTTGGGTGTGGGAGGGGTTGAGGGCTCCGGCTGGGGGTACGGACTCTGGGGTTGGGCCAGGGATGATGGGTTTGGGTGCAGGAGGGGGTTCAGGGCTGGGGCAGGGAGTTTGGGTTGCAGGAGGGG